TATATTTTATATTGACGGAGAGGCCTTGACTTTTACAAATAAGATTAAACACAAGATTAGGACATCTGATGAGATGCCGGTCTTCACAAAAAGTTATCGTTACCCTTACATACACCGCGACGAGGTCAGGGATCAGATAGGGAAAATGCTAAGTCAGGGTATAATTAGACCATCGGAATCTGCCTGGAGCTCCCCTATTTGGATAGTACCAAAAAAACCTGATGCTTCAGGAAAGACCAAATGGCGTTTAGTCGTAGACTTTCGGAAATTAAATGAAAAAACTATTGACGACAAATATCCGATTCCCAACATTAATGACGTTTTGGATAAGCTAGGTAATTGCCAATATTTCTCAACCCTCGACCTGGCTAGCGGCTTCTATCAGGTCGAGATGGACCCAGAAGACATACCCAAAACAGCATTTAACGTAGAAAATGGGCATTACGAATTTTTACGCATGCCCATGGGCCTGAAAAATTCACCATCTACCTTCCAGCGGGTGATGGACAATGTCTTGAAGGGTCTCCAAAACGTCATCTGTCTGGTCTACCTCGACGACATAGTAGTTTTTAGTACCTCACTTCAAGAGCACATGATCAACCTCGAAAAGGTATTTTCAAGGCTTAGAGAATCAAACTTCAAAGTCCAAATGGACAAGTCCGAATTTCTCAAACGAGAGACCGCCTATTTAGGGCATGTTATTACCAAAGACGGCATCAAGCCGAACCCTGACAAGATTAAGGCTATTAAGAACTATCCAATGCCCAGAACCCCCAAAGAAATTAAGCAATTCCTAGGCCTAGTAGGGTATTATAGAAAATTTATCCCGAACTTCGCGCGCATCACTAAGCCATTTACACAATGCCTAAAGAAAGGAAACAAAGTTGTTATTAATTCAGAATATACAGATTGCTTTGAAAAATGTAAAAACCTTTTAACTAATGATCCGATTTTGCAATACCCAAACTTTAATAAGGAGTTCATTTTAACTACCGATGCTTCCAACGTAGCTTTAGGCGCTATATTATCACAAGGCCCCGAAGGTGCAGACAAACCGATTTGTTACGCTTCTCGCACGCTAAACGACAGTGAGTTAAATTATAGCACAATAGAGAAGGAGCTCCTCGCGATCGTTTGGGCAACCAAATATTTCCGGCCCTACCTTTTTGGCCGCAAATTTAAAATCATTACCGACCATAAGCCGCTTCAGTGGGTCATGCAGCTAAAAGAACCTAATGCGCGTCTAACTAGATGGAAACTCAAGTTATCCGAGTATGATTTCACTGTTAAGTATAAAAGTGGTAAATCGAACACTAACGCTGATGCCCTTTCGCGCGTCGAGATGCATAACGAGGAAACGGATTCGATGATTGCTCTCGCGTCGGAACGACCGCCCTCTGTGGAAAATTCGTCCACAGCATCCGCACATACCAGTAAGGAAAACCCCATTCTCGAAGTTCCTATTGTAGACCAGCCGCTTAACAAATTCCATAGGCAGATTGTTATCTCCGTGGTTGGTGACATAAAGAAACGCCCCGTAGCTTCCAAGCCGTTTGACACTCATAACAGAATAGCTGTGCAAGTATCTAAATCAGACCTTGAGAATGACGTTGTAAATCTTGTAAAGGAATACGTAATCCCTAAAGTTAAGACGGCCTTACTTATCAATCCGCCTTTAGCAATGTACGACATTATTCCAGTCATACAGGATAAGTTTAAAAATTCGGCCATGAATTTAGTGCTAACAAAAACTGAGGTGGAAAATGTAAATGACTATTTAAGGCAGCAGGAGATTATCAAAAATTATCACGACGGTAAAACTAACCACCGTGGTATAAATGAGTGTCATCTTGCCTTGTCTTGCCGTTATTACTGGCCAAAGATGCGAGATCAAATTACCAAAGTTATCAATGATTGTACTATCTGTGGCCAAGCTAAGTACGATCGTAATCCCATCAAACCGCAATTTAACATCGTTCCTCCTGCTACTAAACCGTTCGAAATTGTGCACATAGATTTGCTTTCTATACAAAATGAGAAATATTTAACTATTGTAGATGCGTTTTCCAAATACGCGCAGGCATACCATGTTCGCGATGCCACGGCAATCAGTATCGTTCAAGCACTGTTAAATTTTTGCACTCATCATGGGCTACCTCTAACAATAGTATCAGACAATGGCACAGAATTTACCAATCAGATATTTAATGACTTTACTAATTTACACCGGATTAACCATCACAGAATACTACCTCACTCCCCCAACGATAACGGCTTAGTAGAAAGGTTCCACGCGACGATTCTGGAACATCTCAGAATCCTAAAATTACGCAATAAAAGTGAGAATGCTATAAACCTTATGCCATACGCAATTTTAGCTTACAATAGCTCCGTACACAGCTTTACCAAATGCAGACCTTTTGATATTATAACTGGGCATTTCGACCCGCGAGACCCCTTTGACGTAGATATGACGAAACACTTAACGCAGCAATACGTACAGAATCATAAGGATCAGATGAAGTTAGTTTATGAAACGCTAGGGGAAATTAGCCTGGCTGACCGTACCAGCATCATAAATAACCGTAATAAAGATCGCGATCCTGAAATCGAATATCAGCCACATCAGCGTATTTTTGTGAAGAACCCTCTTGCGAGTCGTCAAAAGTTGGCCCCTAGGTATAGTCGTGACACAGTATTGGCAGACTTACCTATACATATATACACCTCACGAAAACGCGGGCCTGTTGCCAAAAATCGTCTTAAAAGAATACCCAAAAGTGCCAAATTGTTACAGGGTGCTACTGGTCCTGACTGCTCCTTCGATAGCATCCCACAGGATGAGTCAAGAGATAACACTTGAGAGCCTTGACGACGGCCCCGGACTTCTACCTTTTCGGCTTGGCGCAACAAGGCTCATTACGCACTATCATACTTTTATACAATTCGTAGAATTAGATGATATTAATGATAAAATCTCGCAGCTACAGAATCAACTAATATATTTTAGACAAACTCTAGGAAACGATACTTATATGCTTTATGAGGCTCAAATAGAATTCCTATTCATCAAACTTAGTAAGGTCTTAAACCAATTAGAAACCTTAAAACCCCATCGTATAAAGAGAGGCCTCGTAGACGGACTCGGTTCAATAATTAAGAGCGTTACTGGTAATTTAGATAATTCAGATGCCGTGAAGTATGACAATGCAATTAAAATCCTTCAGCAAAAGAGTAACGTTATTTTTCATGAATTTAACAATCACGTAAGTCTTAGTAAAGAGTGGATGGTCCAGCATTCTAATGTGTTAGAAGAGTTAGTCGAGAATCAAGTAAAAATAAATGAAACGTTACAATTAATTTTAGATAGAAATAGTTATAAAGATTCTAGCCTACTAAAATATGCTAAATTTGCTCAGTACCTTGCTATTTTAACTGAAAATATTGACGAAACATTCAGTGAGCTAACTAGAATTGAAAATATCATTGCTTTTATTCACGCTTCAACTTTACATCATTCCATGATTAGTATAGATATTTTAAACCATATGATTCAACGCTTAATTACTATCTATGGTAAGGAGCATGTGTTGCAATTAGAACTTAGGGAATACTATGACATAATTAAACCAGGATACTATTACTCTGATAATAGGATAGTCATAATTTTTAATATACCGCTATTTACTAAGGATAGTTACAATCTCTATAAATTATCCATGGCCCCCAATAAGTTTAAGCAGGCCCTCGTCCCTCCTTTTCCTTTAATAGCAACCAACAGAAAAGGTTATGTGTATATAGAGGCTGAATGCCCGAAGTTTAAGGACTGGTACCTCTGTGGAGAGACAATGGACCATCAGCTACGACAAGTCCCAGACTGTATCCAGAATCTTTTAATAAATCAAGCCATCGACAAGACCTGCGACGTTGTTACAATAACCCTATCAAGACCAGCTATGGAAGAATTAGACGAGAAACATTATATCCTGTCTTTCCCCAATGCCACGAGGATACACTACCTATGTGGCAAAGAAAATTACAACATTCTCAGCGGCACCTACTTAGCAACCGTCCCTATGAGCTGCTCCTTGGACACACCCGACTTTACAATCACCAATATTAACGACGTAGTTGAAGGACAACCGCTGAAAATAATGAAGCTGACAACCGACATTGAGGAACCGCTCAAAGGAAATTCTCAGATTCATCTTAATTCCATTGACTTGCGAAGGCTGCATGACACTAAGCACAGGGTGATAACGCAGCCAACTCTGGAAATAAAGCAAGCGTCGCCGGACTACACAGTATATCATACAACGATTCCGCTTTATATCATTCTATTAAGCGCACTCGCACTCACCATGCTGCTACTTATAAGACGAGGCGAAATATTCCTACGCAGATCTGAAAGATCACCCCCCAAGGACAAGATCTATGCAGTACCCGAGACATCTGAAAAGACCAAGCAGCATCCATCACTATTTTCTCAGAGAAGCCTTCAAAAATAAGTGATGATCTGAAGGGGGAGGTGTTATATCAAGCTCCCACTAGTAATTTGCAATAAGCGATGACCTCGATACAGCACCTGCTGACACCGCTCACGCGTGCCGCCACCGGACGCAACGTGATCACCGCCGCTGACACAGCACCCCGATTGACGTCAATGCGCGTTTACCGCGATGCAACATTGTTATTTTATAAAATTAATTTAAGTATTCTGTATCTAGCATCGATCAGGCATAGACTTAAGTTTAATTGTAAAATTAGTTTTCATTAAATTTACTTAAATAAATTTGGTTTTTTTTGGGTCCTTCGGCTGTGGTTACCATAATTCACTTAACATGTCACTTTATAACTGTTGGTATATATGTATGAAATAAGTCGGACAAATGAGGCTAGCGAACAATGGATGTCAGAAATATACCGAAAGTTTGAGTTGGTTGCATGTGTCTAGCTTTACTGTTTGATCATTTTATAACTAAAATGTTTCTGTTAAACAGACAAACAAGATCTTGGCTAATCATTTGCGAACTCACACCGGCGAGCGTCCATATGCCTGCACACATTGTGAAGCTCGCTTTGCTCAGGCTGCAGCCCTGTCTTCACACGTTCGCTCTTTACACAGTCGATAGTGGATGTGACACTCGGAACTTCTAGTTTATAAAAGTTATTGCAAAAGTGTTAATATTTATTATGTAAATATAATTGGTGTGTAATAAGAATAAATTGTTTTATTTTTTGAAGACACACAAAAAGTAAAGCCTGTTTACATTTCCTTGTTGGGCAGCATTCCGACATTTAATTCGAATTCATTGCAATTCTTTCTTTTGAAATCAAAGCTAGCACAATCAAATGTTACTTGAAATTAGAATTAACTGATTGAGCATTTCGTTAAGGTTGAGAACTTCGTAGTCCTATCATAAGAGTATAATTATCATTCAAGTGGTTCAAGCGAAAGAAATATTCACAACAAAAATACACGATGACAGAAAATAGACCTACTTTGTTTTAATCCTTTTGTACACATGAAATTTGCGGAACTATACTGTAGGGCTTGCCTCTCTTTGTGACAATTGTAACCTGTATTTGAGCTCACATGGATAATGATCGTAGTTATAAAGTGGCTCTAAATCTACTGTCAAATTACTAGGAAGTGAACATTTTTTACCAAAGACAAGTTCATAAGGACTGAATTTCGTCTCTGTATGAACTGTCGTATTATAGGCAAACGACCAAAATGGTAACCAGTCGCTCCATGTTTCAGGGTGATTATCAATTTGAATGCGAAGAAAAGCATTTAAATTTTTATGTGACACTTCCAACGCACCTAGTGATTGGTGGTGGTAAGCAGTCGAATTTAATTGTTTTATTTGAAGCAATTTACATAACTCTTGGAATAATGATGCGGTGAACTCTTTCCCTCTGTCCGTAGTTATTACTTTCGGTACTCCATACCTAAGAATAAAGTTAGTGACCAAACTCTTTGCTACTTCGTTGGTTTTTTTAGAAATTAAGGGATATGCTTCGACATACTTAGTGAGTTCGCATTGTAGCGTTAAAGCATAAGAGTAATTATTATTATTAACTTCAAATGGACCTACTAAGTCTAAATATATCTTTTCAAACGCTGTATTAGCTGTCGTTGTTATTTCTAGTGGCTCTCTTACGGGTAACGAAAATTTCTGACGCTGACATTTGTCACAACGCCTAACAAAATTCTTTACATCCTTATCCAACCCAGGCCAATAATAATACTTTTTTATATTGTTGACCATCCTTCTCATACCTGCATGGCCACTGCTAGGTAGGAGATGGAAGTCATTTAATATCACCTTTCTGTCATCCTTATTATATATCGTTTTTACATTATTTATTATATGTACACGTGGACCGGTCCTATCATTCATAGATTTGATTTCTTCAACTAGTTTTTTAATAAATTCCTTATTACCATCCTTCTTTATTATATATACTTCATTAACATTTATTAACTTACAAAAATCATCTAATTCCCTCACAAACTCGCGTCGCGTCATTCGTGAGTCGAAACTTAGATATTTAATATAAATTATCTTTTCCTTTTCAACATAACAAAATGTATTATTTTCTTTACTAATAACTCTTAATTTTCTCAATGTTTTCAAATCATCTTTATTAACCACACGCAACTCCACTGATTCTGCTGGTTTGACATGATTACTTACGACTTTCGGTTGATCAGGCCTCAAGTCTGTGGGTATTATGTCCAACGAGGAGGATCCTGGTTTATTTATTTTTCGACATTTTGCTCGTGTCATGACACTAACGATGTTCTCATTTAATTCTTTTAACTCTTTGGAACTCAAACAGATTCTAGATAACGCATCTGCAGCTGCATTATCTGAACCCTTTACATACTCTACGTCAAAATTATATTCCTCTAATACCAACCGAAACTTCATAAGCCTGCTCGATGGATCTCTCATGCCAAATAGGTATACTAGAGGTTTATGGTCAGTCCTGATTTTAAAATATTGCCCATACAGGTACGGTCTGAAATGTTTCACGGCCCATACTATCGCTAACAACTCTTTTTCTATAACTGGATAGTTTAATTCAGCCTTATTTAGAGATCTGCTAGTAAAAGCTATAGGTCTTCCATTTTTATTCGACAGAACTGCTCCAATTGCTTTATTAGATGCATCGGTTTGTAAAATGAAATAATTTTCTTTTGAAAAATCAGGGTAATCTAAAACTGGTGGGGACATAATACGTTTTTTGAGTGTTTCAAAAGACTTTTGACATTTTTCAGTCCAAACAAAATTAGTATTTTTCCTACAAAGTTGGTTTAATGGTTGCGCAATTTCAGCAAACTTGGTTATAAACTTTCTATAATAATTTGTGAACGCCACAAATCTTTTAACTTCGTCGGCATTCTGCGGACAAGGATAGTTTTTTACTGTATTTATTTTTTCAGGATCAGGTAAAATCCCTTCGTTAGATATACAATATCCCAAATATGAAATCTGTTTTTTAAGAAATGTACATTTTGAAGGGTTCAATTTTAAGTTTACTGAACGAAGTCTTTCGAAAACATCCTGTAAGTTTTTATTATGGTGGTCTAGTTGTCTACCAAAAACAATGACGTCATCTAAATAAATTAAGCATTTTTCATTATTTAGTCCTGACATTGCTAAATTCTTAATAAATTAAGAACTGGGACTTGTTTTTAATCCCATGGGCATTCTCGTCATCTGGTATTGACCAGAATTGAAAGCAGTAAATTTTCGACAACTTTTATCTAAATTAACATTGTAATACCCTTGATATAAATCTAAATGTGTAAAATAGACATTTCCAGACAAAGATTCTATTTCTAATTGGTAACCTATAGGGTTTCGAAAACACTGGACTAACGTTTGATTTCAAAAAAATATTGTGAGTGTAAATGTCTGTTGTTGTCAATTTATCGCCCTCTAAATAAAAAAAATCTGCATATTTTGCACAAATATTTTGAATACTTTGACTTTCTAAGTCATTTAAATCATTTAATTTTAATGAGGAAAATAATCGTTTTACTCGGTCTGAATTATTCTCATTTTTCTCAAAACTACAAATATTATAATCGTTAAGATCATGAATTGCAGGATTTATTCCTGACAATGTTACTGATTTTTCGGTAACATTTAATATTTTTATTGGTATTTTTCCCCTAATTGGTGTCGCTATCGAGCTAGCCAAATAAACGCCATCTTGTAATTCCTGTGAACAAATAATGCAATCGGTTTGAAAATCAGTTTGAATATAATGTATGGATTCACTTCTTGGGGGAATTTCCAATACGTTAATATTATAATTATTAGTGAAAGGCAAGAAACAAGTGTGGCCTGACTCTAACTTCAAAGATAAAATATTTTTCTCGAAATCTAAACATGCTCCAAATCTCTTATATTTACGCGAACACTACACATTTAAATGAAACTAATTTTACGGATTTTATCGCGTATATTAACTTATTTTAATATTTTAATTTTAATATAAGTTAATATACGCGATAAAATCCGTAAAATTAGTTTCATTTAAATGCTCCAAATCTATTCAAAAAGTCTCTACCTAGAATTCCATGCGACGAAATTGGTAACGAATTAAAAACAAAGAACTTGTGATTAATAACAGATCCATGAATCATTAATGGAACATAAACATATCCGATTGTTTGCACCTCGCCACCTAGACCGTTTATAATTACATTCTCTTTATGTAATGAAACACTTAATTCGATAGCATGTTTATATGTTACGGCGGATAAAGATGCGCCCGTGTCGACTAAGAAAGAATAAGTTTTATTGCATGATGAAACTGGTAAATGAATAAAACAATTGCTATTACTACTAGCCAAAATTAAATGATTTTGTTTATTCTCGAAAAAACTTATCTAGTTGGGGTTCATCTGAAGTTGATTTTTGGTTTTCATTAATTATATTGACTATATTTCTTTTTATCCCTTGATTTCTGCGATAATTACGAAACGTACCTCGATTATATCGTCCTCGCTGTCCTTGGCCACGTGAGTTCGAGTGGTTCCATGAACTCGATCGCTGCAAGTTTCCGTGGTAGTGTCCTCGCTGTGAAAATGTTTGCCGATTACGCCCGTTGCCGCGTGGGTACCTAGAGTTATAATGAAAATTCCTAGAATAATAAAATTTCTTACTGGACATACCCATCACCTCTCCTGCGGCCGATGATGATGAAGTCTCTTCATCTTGAGCTGCTTGAATGGCATCCTTCAGGGAGCTGTAATTTCTAGCAGATATTATTGTGCTGATTCGACGATTTCGTAAGCCATCGGAAAATTGCTTGATTGCTTGTTTTTCATTAACAGTTTTCAAAATATTGTAATATTCGGTATTACCGTTGGCTTGCGATATCGTAAGGTCCACAAATAACTCTGTTATTTGTTTTCCGTAATCAGCAATTGGCATATCATTTTGGCGTAATTTTTGCAATTTACTTTGAATTGCTGCTGCGCTTTTTCTTGGCAACAACTCTTTCTGCATGTCACTAACCAAGTCTTCAACATTAGAGTAATCGTCTTGAAGACGTAATTTAGCAGATTGTGATAATCTACTTTTTAATATGAATTTAATTAAATTATTTTTGCATTCCTGTTTTGTTAACAAAGAATTATAATACTGAATATTGTCTACTAATTGTTTTACACTTGTCTCGTCATCTGACATAACAGGTAATAAAGTCAGAGCCGTTTTCAAATCGAAAGTATCCATATTGCTCGGATTTTCAGATTGTACACACTGGGGCTTACACAATTTTATAATATCCTGATATAATGATTCAAAATTCTTACAATAAGTTTGATAAGATGGAATATCAGTAGATTTAATCTTACCTTCCTTTACTTTACTATTAAAATTTATTAACAACTTAGAATAGTCACTAAATATTTCATTGGCCTCTTTAAGTTTAGTATTTAAAACTTTTCCTTCACGTCTACTCGGTCCAATTTTAATTAAATATGTTCTCACTTCTTTTAATTTCTCATATAATTGTTCTAAAGAAATATTCATAACTTACCACCAATACGTAGAATAGAGTATACTATACATAATTTTATGAAATATTTAATGTAATAATAATACGGTTAAATGACGATTAAAGACAGTACAACGAATACATGATTTAATTTAAAATATAAAGTTCAGTAATATAGACTAGAGTCCCAGATTTATGTAGTTGATTTATAAACACATTACCCTTTTTTTTTTCACTATTAATAGACACGCACTTTTTTACTCATTTTATATACACGTAAACTCCACTTTTAAACACTGATCAGCGCCGGTCATACTTTATAATACGCCCTTCGTTGACTTGCCTCTTCCACATTTGTGGAGGGTTGTGGTTGCCGAAAAATAGACCTTCTCAGGGTATTTCTGTTTATCTCTGTGTTAATCCACTTTATATGACATCGCCTATATGTCCGATAGAAGCAATACAGGGACCCCAGTAGAAGTACTAGCACAATGATAGACAGCAAAATATTACTCGTAGTCAGGTGAAATTGTAATTGTTCAACTCCTGCCTTATTGCTTCCCACTGCGTTTTGCACAATTACGGTATCTTCTTTAGTCTGTTTACCGCCCATCTTGGATGTTATTTTTCGTTAACTTTTTGTTAAACACGTGTACACAGTCGCGCAGCTCAAGATAGAACGCCATAGCTTGATTTAGTTCATCAGTTGCACATAGAAAAAATGTTCCACTCCAAATACGGCGAAGGGTGTCATATTCGCGTCGCGATTTACTTCGGCAGGGTCGCCATGTAGGGCGAATGTTAGGAGAGGAGTTAAACAAACGAATGGTGATACAAGACTCTCTTTATTGTATTAATAAATTTGATTATATAGGATTATTATTACACTTGTGTGTGTACTTTTATATACCCTTACTACTACTACTACTACTACAATACGAAGAGGTTGAGGAACGTTAAACTAATAAACTTTTAAAAATAAAAACGCAAGAAACACTGCACTGAAGCGCCTGATCCAAAAATTTTAATTTTGATCTCACTATTGACGAGGTAAACAAAAAGATTAATAACAATCGAAGTACCTACAGCCAAGAGAAAGCCTGCCTCTAATTTCAATAGCCTCACGTATCATCCTTGGCAGGAAGCGATGTTCATTGGCAAGGATTTGTGGTTTATCAAATCTAATGTAGTGGCGGGGGCCGTCTAGTATACGAGGGTGGGTCAATAAGTCCGTGACTTTTGGAATGAAACACAGATTTTTTGATAAATAAATCATTTTATTTTTCAACGTAGTCTCCCTTGAGCTCTATACACTTTGTCCAACGCTTCTCCAATTTTTTTATCCTTTCCAAAAAATATGATTTGTCGAGGTCCTCAAAATAGGCCTTTATTTGCGAGATGACTTCATCATTGGAGTCAAATCTTTTTCCACCAAGCCATTTCTTCAGGTTTGGGAACAAGAAGTAGTCACTCGGAGCCAAATCTGGAGAATAGGGTGGATGAGGGAGCAATTCATAGCCCAATTCATAGATTTTTGCCATGGTAACTGCACCTGTGTGCACCCTTGCATTGTCTTGGTGGAATAGAACTTTTTTCTTGGCCAAATGAGGTCGGTTTTTTTTTCAAATTGTCATTGAATCGGTCCAATAAGTTGGCATAATATTGCCCATTGATTGTTCTTCCCTTTTGAAAGTAGTCAATGTGGATTATCCCGCGTGCATCCCAAAAAACAGTCACCATAACTTTATTGGCTGACAAACCCACCTTGGCCTTTGGCGCCGATTTACCCTTAGAAACCCACTGTTTTGACTGTTGTTTGGTCTCTGGTGTGTTGTGATGGATCCATGTTTCGTCCACGGTTACAAAACGGCGCAAAAACTCCTCCGTATTGCGATTAAACAACCCAAACCTTCCTGTGAAGTTGTTACACGATTGCGTTTGTGGTCGACTGTGAGCAAACGCGGCACCCATCTTGCGGAAAGGTTTCTCATGCCCAAGTGATCGTTCAAAATTGAAACTACTGAGCCATGCGAGATCCCTACGGCTTCCACAATCTCTTGCACTTTCAATCTTCGGTCGGCCAACACCATATCGTGAATTTTTTTGATTGTTTTGGGTGAAGAGACCTCAACTAGGCGTCCAGGACGTTCGGCATCTTCAGTGCTTGTACGGCCACAACGAAATTCAGTAAACCACTTTTTTACCATTGAAATCGATGGTGCAGAGTCCCCATAGTATTTATCAAGCTTAGCCTTGGTCTCAGTAATGGTTTTTTTTCGCAAAAAATAATGCTTAATAAGCACACGAAATTCACTTTTTTCCATTTTTTCCTCAAATTACTGGATAGTCTGATAAAGATAGCTGTCAAACACAAACTAATTGACGCAGCAAGGTCAAATATTGACAGAAGTCAACTGACAGATGCCTGTTGACAGGAGTAGTGTTGCTTTTTCAGTAAAGAGGTCAGAAATTCAAAAAGTCACGGACTTATTGACCCGCCCTCGTGTGATCACAAATTGCAGACTTCTCGGAACGTTGGTGTTTCACGTCAGCTATGTGTTCTTTTACACGGATTTTGATAGATTGTTTTGTTTGCCCTATATACGTCGCCGAGTACTGGAACAAACTTGTGTCTGAAGTCGAGTCTTTGCTGAACAAAGTCTCGGATTGGGGGCGACTAAATCTAGTCCAGTTTAATCCTCAGAAGACACAAGTTTGCGCGTTTACCGCTAAAAAGAACCCCTTTGTCGTATCTCCCCAGTTTCAAGGCACTCCCCTTCTTGCCTCAGCCAGTATCGGAATCCTCGAAGTCGACATATCGAGTGACGTGCAGTTTCGTGATCACTTGGAAGAGAAGGTCAAATTGGCCTCTAAAAAGCTTGGCGTGCTCAGCAGAGCAGGACAGTATTTCATGCCGGCACACCGCCTGCAACTTTACAAGGCGCAGGTTCGGCCTCACATGGAATACTGTTCCCATCTCTGGGCAGGGGCTCCCCAGTGCCAGCTCCTTCCACTTGGCTCGAATCGTCGACGACCGAGTCCTTTCCGATCGGCTCGATTCACTGGCACTGCGAAGAGATGTTGCATCCCTTTGCATTTTCTTTCGCATCTACCACGGGGGGTGCTCTGATGAATTGTTCGGATTAATCCCAGCCGCCAAATTTCACGAACGCACATCGCGGCAGAACTCCCGATACCATCCACACCATCTGGATGATTGGCGGTCCACCACTGTGCGATTTAGAAGATGTTTTCTTCCTCGACTTCCTTGTGGAATCGATTACCATCAGCGATTTTTCCGGACCGATACGACTTAGGGACCTTTAAGAAAAGAGCGTACTCCTTTTTAAAAGGCCGGCAACGCATCTGCAATTCCCTCTCTGGTGTTGCAGTTCTTCATGGGCGGCGGTAGTCACTTACCATCAGGTGAGCCGCATGCTCGTTTGCCCCCTCTCCTATAAAAAAAATATGAGAGACCACATTCACAATCAGGCTTGTAAATTTCTGCATCTTGTAGAGGAATATTGCACTTGACGCATGGTAAGAACTGACTAATCTTCTTCGGTGGCTTGAAGAATGTTCTTATAGAAGCTCGCTTCAAGATGTAGCCAATCTTGTCTGTGACATATCTGACATATGGTCGGCTTCACTCGATCACTGTGACGTAGGCGTGGGAACCGAAGCTTGTTGTCGTGCGGAACCTGCTTGACGTGCTGAAGCTCGGCGGCCAGGTGTTTGCTGTCACAGATCCCTCGTGCTCTATGTAACAAAGATTTGCACACGGTACCTAACTGCGAAGGATGATGGCGGGATTCACCGTTTAGCCCTTACAGGACCATAAGATGTCCAAGACTAAATATGCAAATACAACACAATATTTTACCTATTGTGGGTGTAAAGTAAGAGAATATCACCAGAAAAACATAGCAGGGTGTGTAGGTTTCCTATACTTTCATGGGAAATATTTTTCCTTATGGACCATAAAAGTAAATAAACGAAGAGTTAGGTTTATTATATCGGTATTTTATTTATTTCTTTGTAATATAAAAAAACATAATAAAAATTATCAGAAAAGTAAAATAAATGTAAAGGTATTCTAAGAAACAATTTCGTTTACTTGTGAAGCACAAGTGGACATTGCACATAACACATTTATTATGTGTCCTATTTCCTATACGTCGTTTTGCACAATTTACGCATCGCTTCAGTTTTTCTGCTTTTTCCATGTTGTGTGCTGGCAAATTGCGTTTATTTCCAATGTGGAGCTTTTCAGAGGAGACTAAAGTGAGTCTTGATCGCTGTCTACATTTAAAATTATTTATTAGACCTCGTGCTACATGTTGGCGATACTCGAGGCTGCTCAAAAGCGGACCTTCTACTCGGTGTTTTTCGTGCAACTTTACATACACTAAATACGAGTTATTCATAGCAATATCTAAGATGTTAAAAAAGAGGTGCAGGTAATATTTGATTTTGGCCTTGCGATCAACCTCATAACATGCTTTGCGCTGGTCCATAAGGTCCACACCGCCCATATATTTATTATAGCGTATCACTACTTCCGGACATGTAACATTTATTTTTTGAGCAGTTTCCTCTTCTTTACTGTGCTAGTTGGCACCGGAGATATGAAATTGGTCAACATATGGACTGCTTTAGTATCCATCCATTTTACGAATGTTATACCGTTTGTACTTACGGCATGGATGTCGCCTCTTTTCATGCTTTTATCTGATGGTAATGACTTTGGCGCATTTTTTCTATTCGTGCGAACAGTGCCGCAGGCTTTGGTGTTCTGCATCATAAGTTTATGTTGCAAAGCAGGCGAGTTGAAAAACTTGTTAAAGTATACTTCACAACCAAGAGCCTTTAGTTGTTCCGCCAGACAGAGTACTATTGATTCACCTAAACCAATTTCTGTATTAGTTTTCTTTCCTGTATATAAATCAAACTAGGATAAGTATCCTGTTGAAGACTCACGTCTATACCACATCTTGAACCCCCATTTTATAGGTTTATTTTTGATAAACTGTTTCATAATATTATGCCCTTTGAATTTGATCATGTGTTCATCATCATCATGCATTGCCTTAGTGAGTTATTCATTGCTGCTTGAAAACATTATTGTTGAAAATTAAAATGTTGCATAACAGATCTTATTTTGTACGCTCTGTCACTCGATTGTGAGTGATTGTTTTTTCAGAGAAGGGTAAATTTTGCCGAATCTGCTCAAATCTAGTTCTTGGCATAACATTAGCAATGAAAGGCACACCCATGTCTTCATGAGTCGACCAATAATTTCTAAGTGTTGGTAAACCATGATAACTCATTACAAATTTCATGCCCAAAAATGCCTTTATTTCATCCAAACTCACTGTAAAAGGTCTTCCATTTTGTTGTGCGTATTTGACACTTTCTTTTATTATGATATTAGACACTAACTGATCCATTTGTGTCACCTCTATGAAAATGTCCATTGGCAACAACATGCCATGCCGGTCAGATAATGTATTTTGCGCCCAAAATCATACTCACTTTCATTGAATGTGTGAGGAGCGTATGAGTTATTTCTCCAGTTGAAAATAGGAATAGTCTCTGAAGTATCTGAACAGGTGGGTAATGAGGTTTGATTTGTCAGCTCTTGAACAGAATCTTCAATTTTAACAACATCGGTTCCATTTTCCACATCTTGAGCTATGAACTGCTGGTCTTCTTCGTCTAACTGTAAGTTATCTTCTCCGTCACTATTATCTGCCATAAGTAACTGCAATATTTCTTCATCTTGAATATGAAATTCTCAGCACCCTCTTTTAACCATTTCTTAAAAAAAACGGTAAATTATATAAAAATACAAGAAAACCATACATTATCATAAAGCACTACATATAATAATACTATAACGAATACACCAGATATGGACCAGCAGGGCTAGCATGGCAGGAGACAATTTATCCCCGGGGAAAGGACAAAATGTTTATCCCCTCGCTTAGTTTTATCAACCCTTCGAGCATGGGCACACCGGTGGATATAATATCCACAGTAGATAAAATGGAGATAGACTTATCCCCGCAATTATTGCCATTATAAGAAAACTAAAAAATACTTCGAAATGATGTTTGCTCTAAGTCACGAAATCATTATTTTGTATCTGTTCTCGTGATTTCGATACATTAAAGTTCACAAAATTACAAACTTATAATAATAATTATAGTGCAATTTTCGCTTTCGTCAAATAAAATTAAAACGGAGAGTTATATTAAAATATATATTAAAATGAACGCCACAAAGTAAGTATACTATTACATAAAATTTTGTAAAGTAACTATTGTTTTAAGAAAGCGAAATGTAAACATTTAATTTTCTCTACAAATCTTTCTGTTTACAAATAATTGATACTATTTTATAACCTGTTCGTCTTTATTTATCGCCAATTATTTAACTGATACTACACTGCTTACTGAAGATGTTCACTGAAGCTCGTTCCAAAAATTACGTTAACACCGTTAATGCACTCCTTTACGGTTGCGATGCACTCAGTTCAAGAGCCGGTCACCAATGTGGTAGTATGGGTACTACCTAGTACTTTAATCTTCACTCCAATAAAACTATGCCTAAAATAATAATGGTTTATTATCACTCAGTTATATTAAACATTTCACACGTTACAATCTTAAAAGAATATTAAACTAAAACAAAGAATTGAGTGGAAAACACTGAGAGACCTCGTATACGTCTACAGATTTTGCGTCATAATAATTATTTCTCTCAATGTTGCCAGATTTACATTACAGTGTTTAATTGAAGTGGTGCGTTCAGAAATTAACGCCGCCACATCACCCCCCACGGAGAGAGGTAATCGATCAAAGATCGAAAGGACGAGCGAATTTAACCCGTCTACCTGAGCGTGTAGTGCATTTGGGTGATGGGGCTAAAGAGTCATGGCCAGAATTACTTGTGTTTTGAGTGAGAGGATTTTGTGTGTGTGAAGGTAACTGATTCGTAACTGAAGAGGGTAAAAATGTATCAGGATTTTGAGATTGTGTAAATTTTGGAGTGTGTGTGAGGATGAATGCGGGTTTAACGCGATCAATACTCACGACGACTTCCTTGTTTCCCACGACGATAGTGACAGTCTTATCTGATCGTCTGACAACCTGAAATGGTCCTGAGTAAGGTGATTCCAATGGCGGCTTCACGTGGTCTGCTCGCAAGAACACGTGTGAAGTGGTGGAAAGGTCTTTAAACAGGAAAACTTTTCTTTTACAATGTTGAGATGCAGGTACAGGTCTCAAGTCTGACATCATAATTCTAAGCCGTGAGACAAAATCAAATGGATCAGATACTTGTGAAACTGACGAAGGAACGATCATCTCTCCAGGAAGATGTAAGGGCTCTCCGTATACAAGTTCGGCTGCTGAAGCCTTGAGATCCTCTTTTAACACAGCACGCATGCGAAGAAGTACAGCAGGTAATGCTTTGATCCAGGGCTCGTTGCGACACATCAGGGAAGCCTTAAGCTGCCTATGCAGGCGTTCGACCATACCATTCGCACACGGATGAAAACTAGTCGTTCGTAGCTTTTTAGTGCCTAAAAGTGTCATAAGTTTGCGAAATAAGTCGGACTCAAACTGGCGACCCTGATCTGTAGTGATACGAGAAGGGACACCAAATCTCGATATCCAGCCAGTCATCAAGGTGTCAGCCGTCTCCTCGGCGGTGATACCGCGCATTGGCCACGCTTCAGGCCATCGTGTGAATCGATCTACAGCCGTCAAAAGATAGCGATAGCCTTCGCAGACGGGAAGAGGACCTACAATATCAACATGAACGTGCCTGAAGCGGCCAGCAGGTGCAGCGAAATTAGCTAAAGGAGAGACAACGTGCCTGGTGACCTTATTACGTTGGCATGAGAGACACGTCTTAGTCCAATCGCGAACATCCTTCTGGATAGAAGGCCAAACAAACCTTTTTGTGAGAAGACGAGATGTTGCACGGAGACCTGGATGACTCAAATTGTGGAGTTTATCAAAGTATTTCCGACGGAAAGGAGCGGTAAGGAAAGGACGTGGCTGACCCGTGGAAGTGTCACAAAATATTGTGACATCAGTCCCAGGCAACAAAACCTTCTCTAGTTTAACAGAAGTGCCGTCACTAATAAGTTTTTGTAGTTCCTCATCGTCTCTTTGCAACAAAGCTAGGTCGGCGAAGTCATCCTCCAGCGAAATTGCCTCAATTCGCGACATAGTGTCAGCCACAATGTTATCCACACCTTTAATATGTGAAATATCAGTCGTGAACTGCGAAATGAAGGTAAGTTGATTTAACTGTACCGGAAGTAGTTTCTCCCGACGCTGAGTAAAAGCGTAAAGAAGAGGCTTGTGATCTGTAAAAATGGTACACTGTTGCACTTCCAAAATATGTCTGAAGTGTTGCACGGATTCGTATATGGCTAAAATTCTCTATAATATGCAGGCCAGGTTGATTGACGAGCAGTTAGCTTTTTACTAAAAAAAGCAAGGGGTTGCCATTCATTACCTACACGTTGCTGCAGACAAGCACCTACCTGGACACTTGATGCGTCTGTGAACAGACCTAAGTAGGCATCAGGCTGTGGATATGCGAGTAGAGTTGCTTGTCCCAAACTTTCCTTACAAGCATTAAAGGCACACTCCAACTCTGGCGTCCAAGGTACCGGTTTTGCTCCCTTGAGTTTTGTATCAGTCAATATGTTTATCAACGGCGCTTGCAACTCAGCCGCACGCGGTAAACATCGTCTGTAATAATTGATCATACCCAGGAACCTACGAAGACCCTGCACTGTCTTAGGGAGAGGGTACTCCTGTAATGCGGCTATCCGTTCAGGCGGAGAACTTATACCGTCTTTAGAAACGCGGTATCCTAAAAAGATGACACTGTCTACTCCCAGTACGCACTTAGCAGGATTTACGACAATGCCGTAATCGGCTAGCCTCTGAAAGAGAATGCGAAGATGACAAGCGTGTTCTTCTTCATTGCGGGAAAATATGAGTATATCATCGATATACGGAAAACAAAAATCCAAATCACGCAAAACCTCATCCATAAAGCGTTGGAACGTTTGTCCCGCATTGCGCAATCCGAAGGTCATATACGGGAATTCAAATAATCCAAAAGGAGTCGTGATCGCCGTTTTACATACGTCTTCGTCGTTGACTGGTATCTGTTGGTAAGCTCTTATCAGATCAAGCGTACTGAAGACAGTAGATCCAGCGATGTTATTACTAAAATCCCCGATATGACGCAACGGATAGCGGTCTGGGATGGTTCGCGCATTTAAGCAACGATAATCACCGCATGGTCGCCAAGAAACCAGATCCTTCTTGGGCACCAATTGCAGTGGAGAAGCCCACGGACTTTTGGATGATCTTGCGGTGCCGTTACCCAGCATCTCATCGAACTCACGTTTAGCAATCACCAGCTTATGCGGTGCGAGGCGACGTGGCCGACACGACACTGGTGGGCCATCTGTCGTTTTAATGTAATGTACCGTTGAATGTTTAATGTCTCTGTGAAGTCCTGGAGGCCGTGTTATACATGGAAATTCGGCGAGAATTTTATTGAACCATGATTCCGCATTGACTGTAATTGTTTTTACGCTAACCTGTTCCGTAGTGGCAAGGGATGCAGAAACAGCAAGGCCGGTTATTCCATCCAGAACGTTTTTATTGCGGCAGTCGGGCAGTAGATGGTAATGCGCAAGAAAATCCGAACCTATAATGGGAATCCTGTCATTCGCCACTACGAATTGCCAGTGGAAATCTCGCCGCAAAGTTAAGTTTTAGCGATACGCTACCATATGTCTTAATGGTGCTGCCGTTGGCTGCACTGAGTTGATACTTGGTACGAGACGCTCGACCACCCAGCAACCTACGAGGATAGCAGCATAGGTCAGATCCTGTGTCTATTAAAAACCTGACCTTGCTGGTTTTGTCCGTTAAAAACAAGCGACGGCCTGGTTTAGCACAATCAGTTGCCGTCGCTACTGACTGGCTTGGCAGTTTTCCGCTTGCCATGAACAAGGAATAACGCACTTGCTTGCCTTTTCTTTAAACGTCCAATGGTACCAGCATAACTTACCATCAGATCGTGTGCGGTTCCTAGACTTGCTTCTACTACACAAGTTTACAATTTAATAATTTGTTGTCATGTGATACTACACTGCTTACTGAAGATGTTCACTGAAGCTCGTTCCAAAAATTACGTTAACACCGTTAATGTACTCCTTTACGGTTGCGATGCACTCAGTTCAAGAGCCGGTCACCAATGTGGTAGTATGGGTACTACCTAGTACTTTAATCTTCACTCCAATAAGACTATGCGTAAAATAATAATGGTTTATTATCACTCAGTTATACTAAACATTTCACACGTTACAATCTTAAAAGAATATTAAACTAAAACAAAGAATTGAGTGGAAAACACTGAGAGACCTCGTATATGTCTACAGATTTTGCGTCATAATAATTATTTCTCTCAATGTTGCCAGATCTACATTACAGTGTTTAATTGAAGTGGTGCGTTCAGAAATTAACGCCGCCACATCACAATTCTTTTTTTTTTAAATTCCGATCAAGAAGTAACAATACACAGATTAATATGTTGGTTGACTTTATTTCGACTCACAACCACCTTGCCACTGGAGAGTTCACAGGGCCCTTAGGAGCCAAAAGGGCAAACTCCCAGTGGCAAATTCTCAAGGAAATGCTAAAAGAGTATTGGCCAGACAGAACAATTGATCAGTGGAAGCAGGTTAGTACATAACATATTACATTTTCATGGTAAATTCTGTATGTACACAAAATTAAAATTATATACACTATTTTTGACGGCGAGAAAGTAGTAGGTATTTAAATAATCTTTTATTTGCAGACTTGGAAAGATTTAAAAAAGAGTGCGCGTACAGAGAATGCAGCGGCAGCTCGTGGACACAGTACCACGGGAAATTCATTAATAGTACCGACTGTGTCCGAAGTGAGCACAAACGTTTTAAACATTCTAGGGTTTGAGTCTTCTACTGGTATTGGGCCTGAAGAGTCTTCAATAGGCCAGGCAAATGTGTGTACTTATTTAGTTACAATATTTTGCCTTAACTTTGTCTTTGAAAGCATGTGAAGCTTATGTTTCTAATTTTATAGCACGAAATCATTGAAGTGTCGGTGGTGGACCATGATACGGAATTAAATTTATTAACACTTCCAGTACCCACCCACTTTGCAGACGAGTTGGAAAATATTCCACCAGCCCCTTCCACCTTGTATCCAGTCCCTTCCACAAGCCATCCAGCCCCTTCCACTAGCTATCCCACAGCCCAAAATAAAAAGGAGCGATCGCATGATGCATTCATTCGCCTTCAACAAGAAAATAATGCATATTTACAAGTAACAATTGTTTTTTATTTCATTACTAATTGCATGAATGCTATTATTCCCTTCCAGATTAATATTAATATTTAATATTGTTTTGCTACAGTCAATATAAATTTGACCTTATCTTTCAGAGTATACATGAAAGGCTCAAAGAGCGCAACAACCTTTTATGTGAACAAAATCAATTGCTTCGTACACAGAATAAACTCAAAAAGATGAAAAGGTAATCATACAAATAAATTTTAGTTGAAGTATGTATTTATTAATCTTTGTCTTTTTTGTCGGGCAATTGTCAACAGCCTCGTTTGATCCACAGATGTGATGAGAGGATTGCTCTCTACACTTGTTGCATCTAAGTTGTCCATTGGTTGTTCCATTGGAATTCTGCAATTTACAAATTAAATTAATTATTGCACAAGCATATATTAATCGTGAAGCCTTCTCTGGACTGTCATGGAGTACCCTGTCAATGCCTAGGCTCCGGAATGTGCCTTTGAGATACCCATTTGTTCTTTCCACACAGTTTCTCACTTGGCAATGCCATTTGTTAAATTTTTCTGCAGAACTATTTGGTGCAGCTTCCAAATCTGGAGTCATCAGTCAAGGCTCTAAGGCATAGCCCGAGTCCGCTGTAAAATATTAAAATATTTGTTTCTTTTAATGTTGTATTATAATATACGTGTCAATTAATGCTTGTTATTGTCTTTTCAGATTTTCACCAAGATTTAAATTTTAAAGAGAATTGAACATGAAAAATAAAAAAAAACAAAGTATTAATGATGGTAAAAATTAATTATCTAATAAAACAAAGAATAAACAATTGTATGATAACGTGTCTTGTGTTTTTTTATTCCTAATATTATGCATATTAGCCTTTAGATGGTAACAAGATTTGCTAAAGAATTAACATAATATGTCTTAAGTCAAAATTTTGAATTGTAACTTTATAAGTTTGAAAATTTAATTTTAAACATTTCCAATTTAACTTTTGAAATGTTAAATATAAACTGATCGTGGACTCGCCCTGGATATCGTGCATTGATGTTAATGATGCGGCACTCAACATCCACAACCTGTAACAATTAATTATAGTCTTAATAGTGCAATGGTTAATGGGTTTCTGCAATCCGAAAGGTTGCAGGATCTATAACCAGGACGACAAAGACAACAATAAGACTATTGTTGTACTTTTTCTAGGAAATATTAGTCATGAATATACGAGATATTCTTTATTTAAAAAAAAACTAGACTACTTAAAGAACTTGTTTATCCTTACCAGTTGAACATTTATTGTAGTCCGCCCTTTGCTGTTCTTGTACTGAACCCCAGTCGGGAATGGTGGGGGAAATATATCAACATGGGTGCAGTCAATAGCTCCAAGAATATCTGGCAAACCATGCTTCGAAAGGAATCATGTGGCTACATTTTTCCTTGCTTGTTCTACTCCCGGAAACAATATCCATTTTGGCATAAGTCTAAAATTAAAATGCAAGTAAGTATATGCATTGAAACCTGTTCTATTTACCTACAAAAGAGGCTAATTAAATTATATAGTGGCTTATATTCTAACGATAGCTTCAGTAACTTGAGCCAGGTATTTGCTAACTGTTGTTTAAGCAACAGCCATTCCATGGTCTTGACCCGTACCTTTCTGGTAACTACCATCTGCCAAGAGTCTGATAAATGTGAGTACCTAAAAACATATTAAATTAAGTTAGCCACATGTATTGATTGTAAATATACGATATGTTTTCACCGTGCCCCGTCAAAACAGCCCCGACAAAACAGCCCCGACAAAATAGCCCACCGACAAAACAGCCACCGTCAAAACAGCCCCCGACAAAACAGCCCAAGTCAAAATAAATACCATACATATCTATAGAATTTATAACTATACTTATACCGTGTATCTACTTCAGTTGGCGATATATGGGAAACTTTTCTATTGTGAGTTTTAGCAAGAAATTATTCCTTATAAAAATTTATACTTTACAATTTGTTCATTCCAACTATTGCAAATGTATCTGAATAATGTTTTCTACAAATGATATCAAATTTAAAATTGTAAGTGGTGTAAAACGAATGTTAATACTTTACGTGACTTTTTTTGGTTCATTTTATGTATTTTTTGTTTTCAACAAAACTATTGCATCGTCTACACACGAAATAAAAACAAAAATAAATGTAGGTATAAAATTATACGAGGGTGGATTGAAAAGTACTCGGCCTAACCAAGAAAATAAACAAATACTAAATCAGTTATATTTTTATTTTTCTACATAATCACCATCAAGTTCAATACACTTTTGCCACCTCCCCTTCCAAGCATTTAGACCGTTGAAAAAAAATGATTCTTCCTTAGAGTCAAAATATGCGTCTACAGCTGCTTTGACGTCGTCGTTTGTCGAAAATCTTTGACCTCCCAAGTGCTTTTTTAGATTAGGGAACAGAAAGAAGTCTGATGGTGCCAGATGAGGTGAATACAGCGGAATCGGTAACAGTTCAAAGCCACAGTTGTGAATTTCAGCCATTGACTGTACTGACGTGTGAACACGGGCGTTATCTTGATGAAACAGGACTTTTCTTCTGAGCATTCCTCGACGTTTTTCTTTTATTTCCTCTCGTAAACGACGTAGTAAGGTGCAGTAGTAATCAGAGTTTATATTCTGACCCCTTTCAAGATAATCAATCATAATCACACCTTTCGAGTCCCAGAATACTGAAGCCATCACCTTATTTGCCGACAAAATCGACTTAGCCTTTTTAGGGTGTGGTGAACCAGGTCTTCTCCACTGTTTTGATTGTTGTTTTGTTCCCGGTGTACAGTAATGAACCCATGTTTCGTCCATAGTAACAAAACGATTCAAAAAATCATCTGCATCGGCTTCAAATAACTCCAAACAGTCGCGTGAAATAGTCAATCGCGTCCTTTTTTGTTCAACTGAAAGCAGTCGCGGAACCCACCTCGCAGACACCTTGTGGAAACCCAACTCGTTGATGATGATGTTTTGAGTTCTTTCATAAGAGATGCCTATAATCTCGGCTATCTCTCTAATTTTTAATCTGCGGTCTCCCATTATTAAATCAAGTACTTTTTTAATATTTTCGTCAGTAGTTGACGTCGAAGGCCTTCCAGAGCGGGGTTCATCTTTCACACTCTCTCTACCACGCTTAAATTCTGCTATCCATTTTTTGACGGATGAATATGACAGAGCACAATCGCCTAATGTACTGACCATGTCATCATGGATGGCTTTTGATGATAGCCCCTTCTTATGGAGGTACTTAATGACGGCACGCTGCTCGATTTGCTCCATTCGTGGAAATTATGTCCGATTACTTTGTTAATAAATTTATAAAATCACAACTAATTATCGCACACGTTTCGAACTTCACACAATGAACTAGTCTGAACTGAACTAAATAATGTGGGTAGATTTGATTTTTAGAATTGAATGGATCTGTGTTAGGCCGAGTACTTTTCAATCCACCCTCGTATTATAATGTATATTTACAAACAAAATTCTACAAACTATATTCGTCAAAGGTTATTAATTACAAAGGTTACAATTATTAATAATTATTATAAAATAAAAATAAATGAAGTTATATAATAATATATCAATTTATAATGTCAGATTGTTGGAAATTCCACGGAGATACGGTAAAAGGTCGTCGTTGTTATAATTTCCCATAAGAGTTTCCAATCGACGATTAAGTTGCACATACTTCTTTTTGGAAGCTTCGGGATTTCTGAAGCCGGCTCGAAAACGTTCCAACTCTATTTCTACCCGGTCTTGTTCCTTCCTGAAGTGGTCTATTAATTTGAAAATACATGGATGGTAACAGTCAACGGTGTGTTGGAAAGCATGATGCCATCCTTCTACAGAGTTGTTTGTACGCGGAAGGCCCTGGTGCACTCTATCATGAACATTCCATACATGAATAGGAAATTTTAGATCTGCTCTCCGATTTCTTCTTTGCCGTCCTATATAAGTATCTTCCCAGTAATCGATGACTGCATCAATTTCTCGTGGACAGCTTTCGGTTAGCTCCTCAAAAGCAGTGATTACGTCGCCCTCTTGGACAAAAGATAACGCTAGTAACATTTTCAAATGCATTCTCACATTTTCGTCATTGCGATATTCTTCTACAAGATGTAGCTCTTGGATTTTCCTCCATAAACACTGCCCTAAGTGGAATAAACAACCCATCACCTGAACACCATGAAATACCTGGCAAACTGCATTTTGGATCGCTTTCTCGAAGTCGGATAAGCAGCTTATTGGATTTAAAGTGGGTTTCAACTCCATCAATTTTTGAAACACTCGAACATATGTTTCTTCTCGTTTATCCTGTAGAAGCACGTAAATCAACGGAATAGAACGGTTATCTACCAATGCATGAATGGTAAATACTTGTAAAAATAATTGTGGGGCTACTTTAAAGGTTCCATCTACGTGCCAGTGCCGGTGCTCCTCTAAAACTTCCAAATTTTCTTCAGTACCAAACATGAAGATGCGATGAGGATCATTCTGTCCAGAATCCCATAACAAGAAATTTAGATTTCTTGAAGTGACTTGTAGTGCAACAGGAATATTAATATCGGCAACAGAGCCTGGGTTTGGGCACGACACTTCACGCCTTTGCCGAATACGCTCAACAGTTCTCTGAGATGCATTGTACGATGGCAAATGGACTGATGCTTCCAAATTTATCCCTCTTGTCGATCCTTGAATCTCTTCTTTCTCAAGGTTTCTCAAGGGTGTCCGCTGCTCGCCCTTTCATATTAGACACAGATTTTTTTGCTTCATTTTTAGCTGGATCTGGAGCATGACTGTGTCGAGTCACATTTACCACGACATTTTCCAATGACACTTTGACACGTCCTCGGCAAGGTGTCTCGGCGCATCTCCATGATACACTGCCATCGGTATTAGTTCTCGCCTTACGATACCGGTACCCATCGCTCAACAGTAAATCTTTGCCTTTCTGCGATTGAATAAGTTCCATGATCTTCACCAGACAAAATTCTACAAGACTATAGTTATTTTGTGTGTCCCGATGTTCTTATATATTACTGCTAACGGCCGAAACGTAAATCCCCCCTTCTTGGAACCTACTCATAATAGGTATAGTCCGTTCATCGGTTTAAGAAACTAACTTTTCTTTTACGGGGGATTATCCCCTTACCTGGTGCTGCAATTATAGAACAATTAAGTAATTT